AGGGCTCCTTTTGGACAAGTAAAAAAAAAGATATTTACTATTGCATACAGTAAAAGTGTTTCAGCTTAGAATTATTAAATGTGATTTAATATTGAACAGATTTTATTTAATAAATTTACTAAATAATTTGATAAAGAGAATATAACATTTTAACATATAAAAAAATAAAAAAAACAATGCATTACTATATAAAATTACATGAATCATTTGGTATTGTTGTATTCAAGCTTCACATTTATATAGAAATAAGCTTGGCATATATCTTAATACTGGCAAAAATTCAAAAAATTAATATTTTAAATGGCATATTATTCAATATACCATTTAACTCGCATGTAATTATTTTTAGCAAGTAATATAACGTAATACAAAAAAGTGCCATTCAAATTATGCCATTCAATATATCAGTTAATATATATCTAAATGCTTTGTAAATTGTATAATTAAATTAAACTTCTACCCTTAATATATTTGCAATGAAGATATTAATTGAATGACATGTGATTAGCATCGGAAAATAATCAAGATTAGGACATTAGGTACCAATAAATTAAGGATAATAAGAAAGTTTATTAAATTAATAACAAAAAATTAGTTAAAGTGTAATACAAAAGTATGTAATTACTGAATTCATATAAATAGCGAAAGTAAATAAAGAAAATGAGTCAGTCTTTTAACTGATAACAAAAAAAGTATCAGTCTAAAGTAAATATATACTTACATATAAAGCAGAGTACTGTGTGTGTGTGTGCTTCACGAAGGTGTGTTGAGCCAAGTGAGACCCATAAAGTAATTGACCACCTGAGGTAGATAGCAGTTACTTTGATAATTGCCAATTAAACAATATAAAAGTAAATTTCAACTTTCATTTCTGATTTCACTAATACAGTAATAAAATTTTGATCATAATAAATTGATCAATATAGCTAGCATAGTTTTTATTACTAAATTAATGTTGCACCTACCTCTACACAACAGAAGAAACTGTTGACTAAATATTACTACGTGATTAGTCAACCAATCAAATTGCGAAATTTACAAAAAGACGAAATCATAGAATTCAAGGGGATTCAAAAAATATGTTGTAAAGCAAAGTGAGAGCTTCATGTCTGTTTAACCATTTTCAAATATTTATAGAAAAGATAAGTCAAGCGAGTCTTCCAAAAAAGTATTGTAAAATAATATAAAAAAAATTTTCATCAATTGTGTAATGATTTTGTGACATATCAACATCCCTCTACACCTTTCAACTCATCATTATCTATCTGCATACCTTTTACAGGTACTTATTTTTTTAAAGAAGTGTATTTTTTAAAACTATCTCAAAAGTTCTATATTGGATTTTTTGTGAAAGCTCTAAGTAAAATTCAATTTAGAGTTTCGAGAAGGTTTTTTTTACTTTAAATTAATAAAATAAAAATTTATTACATTAAATTATATATTAATATAAAATTTTACTTCATGTAATGTTAATACAGACAAGTTATATCTATAGTTATGCATTTATGTATTATATAATATAAAATGTGAAGAACTAGTTGTATTTCTATATCAGCTACATGTTATTTATAATAATAAAATAAATTATTAATATTTGTCTAATCATCTCACAAACGTAAATTGTTGGCGAAATTTTTTCCATTTCATGAGGGTACAACAATATTTTTCATTATACTGTCCAAAGTTTTAGTCTTTTTCGGATCTCTAGCAATATAATTAACGATGAATGCCTTTTTAATAAACTGGCACAAATAAAATAAAGAGTTCTCCGCTTTTAATTCATCCATCTTCATAGCGTTTAGCCATTGTTGCAACACTGTCTTCGTTTTTTTTTCATCAATAAACTTATCTACCTTTTCTTTTTTTGGTAAAGTGGAAGTACCTTCTCTAAAAAAAAAACTTATTAAATACAAAAATAAGAATCATAAAACAAACAAAAGATAAATTTACTTTGTTGCTTTAAATAATTCGATCAAATCCTCTGTTCCATCAAGTAGTTTATTTCGAAAGTCACCAAAATGCCTATTTCTGACTCTCAACCATTCTATACCATCAGCTGAATTGAGATCGCATTTGATAATTTGTCTGACCAATTCCTCAATTGCATTTTTATGGGGATTTTAAACTCGAAGAAAAAGACATTTTAGTTCTTCCAGAAAATCATGACCAGCTTTTATCTATAATAAATATTTGTTAATAAACTTTAATTCCTCAATGCAAATTATAAAAAATATCTTTTAATTTTACTTTATCATTCTGAATTGCTGGTTGTGATGTGATCAGTAATAATTAGGAAGTAAAGAGCGATCCATCTACAACTGATGATTGCATAGATATATTCATACTATTTACAAGTTGTAAAACATTTTGATTTTTGCATAGCCACTGACATAGTTGATAAATTGTCATTTCTTTAAATGTTGATGGAATATTGGGAGTGTTTAGCATGAATGAATTATCTGAATTAAGTGCTTGTAATGATCCCGAAGATGCAGGTATAAGAGAGTGAGATGCAGATCCATTAAAAGGAATAAAGTCATCATTAAGAATGCTCATAGCTTGTTGTGTTGGATGTTTTGAAGATGCAGATATTGGAGGTCATAATACAGTTTCATATGAAGAAATAAAATCATTACTATGAATGCTTATAGCTCTTGTTACTGAAGGTCTTAAAGGTGCCGAGATTAATGTACTATTAAAATCATCTGAAATAATAGCTTTTGATCTAATATGAGATTGAGAAGATTCTGTCTCTTCAATTTCACTATTATAACTTACACTCGTCATTATGATTTGGTTCAATACTGTCATCAAAACTATTTAAAATATTATCAATGGTTTGATTATCAACAACTGAAGTAACTGTATCTTGATTTTTTTATGTAAAGTAACAGTTGCATCATTCTTTTCGTAACTAGCAGTATGTGATTTTTTTGATTTTTTGCTTTTTGAGTTATCGACGCTATCTAAAGAATCATCGTTATTATTTAAAGATAAAGAAGTAACCACTTCCTTCTTTTTGTGACCTCGTTTATTAGCAGTGTTTGTATTTAATTTTTCGTTTGCATGTTTTTTAAAAGTTCTAGAACTCATTTATATTTATGTATTATGAATTAATTAATGGCTTGCGCCACTAAATAACCTAGCTCAGAAGTTAATCACTATAAACTTTCACCTAAAGCGAATTGGATTTTAACAACAAAGATAAGTATTTACTTTATATTTGGTTACTTTTTTACTTTATTATCAAAGAATAACATTTTTATTATTACTTTTGCTTTCACTTTAATATGACTCAACTATTACATCACAGATTTTTAGCTCTTAAATTGATTACATATTTCTGACTTAATATTTCATGCATAAGTTTTATCTGACTTTGATAAACTTTTTTGTATTACTGATTTTTGCATAATTGATTTAATGTTTACAATTCTTCTCAGATCATGTGCATACGACAACTTATTCGCTCTAACTTTCTTTGATTTAAAGTCATATATCAAGATTTATATATATAATTTTTTTTTTATTATTATTATCTCAGAGATCCCTTTTACTAAGTATACTGTATAATTGTTTTGCCATTACAGTAGTAAAAAAAAATAATAGAGTTATTGGATGCGAAGCAGCCAATAATAAAAAATATTAATCAAAAGTTTTATTTATATTTATATAGTAATTTAATTTGCATATGTACGTACTATTTATATAAGTATCTTGACCCTGAATTTATTGGGTTCTAATCGTAATTATAATGCATAAATTATCTATATTAGTGCATAAATCAAGTAATTACCATTTTAAGGATTTGAGGATTCTTAAAGAAGTTGGTTATTCAAGTAATTATTTTTCAATAAAAAATCATTTTTTTGTCAAAAAAAACTGTCACATATATATACATATATAATTTTTTTTTTTTTTTTTTACAATAGACCTTTAATATATTTCGCAACTGTTATAGTTCTTTTAACTATCGTCAAAATTACATAAAAAACCCATGTAAGAAATTAAAGATGCCATCATGTGCTAGATTAAATAATAGAAAAGATATTAAAATAAATGGTAATAATCATATATATTTCTTAATAAAGCAACATTATCTAACTAATTTATAGACCAGGTGATATATATACGAGAATATAATGCTCTTAATAATGTTTACAATGAAATAGAACTTGACAATAATGAATGGATAAATGATGTATTATCTGATAATATAACAAGCGAAGAATTTAATGAAGAAGCTTCAAGTAAAGATTCTATTAGCGATGAAGCTTTAAGCAAAGATGAAGATTCGATTGAAGAATTAAATTATGAAAATTCAAGTGAAATATCTAATAATAGTGAAATAATAAGCGAAGAATCTAATGATTGTATAATGAATGAAGAGGGTCCTGATAAAATTGTTGATAAGTCCTTAAGCAGAAAACAAATGCTATCAATTAGCGGAGAGTTCACACCATATTTCAATAATATTACGGAAACATTAATGTTTTGTTGGGTTGAAAAACACAATATATGTAGGTTTAACTTTATTTAAGCTTGATTAGTTTTTTTTTTTAAAAAAAAACTTCTATATTTATATTTAGCTACCCATGCATATGACGAATTGGTGGATATAATTCGTCATCCGCAATTCAAAAGTACAGATATTACAACAAATATATGATGATTTAGGAAGTATAAGCAGAGATTGCCTTTGCTTCCAATCAGGTCATGATACATTCATATCTCTGACAAAAAAACACCTTCTACATCCTAAAAAACAAAAGAAATGTACTATTTATCTATTACTGATATTATTTGGTATGCCTTAAATAACCCTTTACTACTTAGTCAAATGTATTTTGGGCTGGGCCAACAAGTAGAAAAAAATCAAGAGCTTTGGCATGGCGATATCTGGAAAGAATCACCATGATTTGGAAAAGTGTCTATTAAAATAAATGAAGGTAAATTAATTAATTTAGTAAACCAATATCTTAATATTGTTTTTTTTAGTCATTCACTTACTTTATATTTATAGCAACCTATAATTGTGGAGATTTTGTAATTTATAAAGAATCATCAACAAGAGTTGGTAGAATTTTAGCAATCGTGAAGGTAGATAACCTACTAAAAATAAAAATTCAACGTATCCTAATATTTAATAAATTGCCAAACAACTTGCAAAGCAATAATCGAAGAGAAAGATCATGTGGACATGAAGTGTGGCTGCTGGATCGAAATGAGGAAAATGCTATTATAATTGTAGAACTACATAAAATTGTCAAACACATTACAGTTACTATACTTTATAATGAAAATGAAATTAATGAATCTTCTTTCATTGTAATCCGCAAAATTCTTTACAAATATCAAGAGCATTGAAAATTAAGAAATATTGTATATTCCTATTAACATCCCTCTGAATTTGCGGCATTAGAAGATCTATTAATAAGTATTCCAGTTTATAAGTTATATATTGATCTGTATTACGATGACTTTGGAACGTTTTGCAACATCTTTCACTCACTAGGTGGTGTATATATTCAAATTGGAAATTTCCTCTTTGATAAAAGAAGGCAACTTAGAAATCATTTTGTGCTTGGGTTTGTTATGTTTGGGGGCAAATTTGATGAATTTATTGAACCTTTTGTTGCTGAGATGAAACAACTAGAGAAAGGAAAAATAATGGATGTGGAAGGAAGTGAATGCCTTGTAATTGCAAGTCTTGGGGATGTAACAGCAGATTTGCCACAAGGCAATGATCTGGCTGGAGTTAAAAGACACGAGGCTACAAAAGGGTGTCATACTTGTAATGCAACAAAAGATTCCTGGACATCAGATAATATCAATTTGTCATTGATTTCTCATTATCACCATATTACAAACATTCAATTCGGTGAAATTTCAGCAGCACCAACAATTACAAGATGTAAGGAAATTGCTGCTGAATGTGGATTGCGTATCAAATTACCAATACTCGATGAATTAAAAAGAGAAAGGCATCTCCAATCACCACATAATATATATCATATTACAGCAGGCAAAGTATTAAGATTTCTTAAGATTACATTTGATGCACTTTCTTCAGAGGGAAAATCAACATTTATCATGTGTTGGAAGTCATTCGATTATCCAAAAGACTGGCAAAAATTACCAAATCCAATTTCTCACATCGATAGTTTCATGATGTTAGACTGTTTACGATTGGCTATGATAGTTCCTTTTATTTTTAATAGGTTTTTAAAGCCTCAACATTTTAAAAAAACTGAACTTACTTTGTTTCAACAGCAAATAGAACTCTCATGAAATGATTTGGCTGTAAAACATTGGTTAAAATGTTGGATATTGGTAGCAAAAACAATGTTATAGCATTCAAGCATTCATTTTTAGAAAATGATTATATTAAGCTACGTGAATGCTTAGATAATGAAAGAAAATTATTATCACAGGTAGATAATTATAATGCTTTGACTAAAATTGATATGATGGGATTTTAGAGCTAAGGTTCAAGTTTCTGATTTCGAATTAAATTAGTGACGATATTTATTTCAAAATAAATCTTATAAATTGTAAGCTTATTTATATATTAATGAATACTTTATAATCGTAAATTTTTTTTAAATTTAATCTTCTTAGAAATGTATTTATGTTCTCAATGTTAAAATTTATTTATATCACTATTTTTAAATTTTGGAAAATATCGGTTATTTACTCAAATTTTTATCCCAACGTCCCAACCCTTCTCGTCTTTTATGTTCATTTTCCTTTTGGATGATTTCAGAACTTAATTCGATTCCTAATTTTATTCCATCTAGCATTATGTTACTCTATTATATTTATATAAAGAACATATTTTTCTAGTATTATGTTCTCAAATCTAAAGGCATGTTCTTATGAGAACATAAGATTTTCAACACTGCACTGGTAACTTCTATTTCATTTTCTGATTTCGAAATTTTAAAACAAAATAGAACATTTCAAACACCTACTTATTTTTAAAATAAGTTAACTCTGAAACCCTCTAATAAATTAAATTTCAATGCACTAATTAATCATTATTACAAAATTTTTACAAAATAGGCATTTAAAGATTTTGAAAATCTACCAAATTTACATGTTAACTTTCATTTGGTACAACATGCCAGAAATTATGCAACTTTACTAAATACTAGTGTTGGAATGAAAGAAATGGTTCATCACATTTTTAAGAATATAGTAACAAGAACAAATCGAAAAAATATAGATCTTGATTTGTTAAAACATTATACTACATTATTTGCAATACATTATTTATTTGATGGAGGTGTTGATAGCTGCTTTTTTTCTTCAAATAATGCTTTAATGAACTTTTCATATCACTTGAAACAACTAGTGAATAATTGGTTTATCACTGAAAAATTTTTTGATACAAATGAAAATTTACATGAAGGTTATTCAATTTTGATTTTCTTGAATTATTTTAAATTTCTTTTTTTGTATATTCAAATATTTATATCTATTTATTCTAGTTCAGTCAACAGTTGATTATATTTTAAAAATAAATTTAAGAAAGTGTATTTCAAGATGAAAGGCTAAAGAATTTTTGCCAAATAGTCCCAATTTTTTTGCAGAACTAATATTAGCATATCGAGATATGGATTATGAATTGACGATGTTTGAAGATTCATGTCAGTTTTATGAATACATTTGTTTTTTAGTAGAAGATAATGATACTATCATCCAATATCGCTTACATGTCAGTGAGGTTGTGACAGTAATAACTGAAAATAATAGTCAGAATTTTGCAATCCTAAAATCAATTTTTAGTCATCAAAAAAGCAATCAATGTTTTGCTTTTATTATTGTTGACTGGTTTGAAATTACTAATCAAACAAAGGTAGGATGTCCTATATACAAACTAAGAATTGAAAATGAAGGCCAATGAATTTTTCCTATAACCAAAATTAATACAAGTAGCACCGAACATTTTATTCATAATTGTAGAAATGATAAATGCATGGAAGGAAACCATGATTTTAGAAACAATTTATATATTAGAAATTTGTATTTTTTTAAAGCTGTTTAAAATAATCTATTTTTTCATCCCAATTTTTATATTAATGAACTTACCAAATTATTATTATCGATTCATGATTTTTTCATGTACTTTAAGTATGTACATACATATATACGTACCAGAGACTCAAAAAATTTTCACAGGTCCCTGATCTGTACGTATCAGGTATAAAGTATAACATTTGTGCATATAATGCTATTTGTTCATTTTTTGCTCTTGAAACCAGCAAACATGCAGTTAATGAGACATGACAGAATTATGTATATTTATTCATGCTTAGAAGACATGAAACCAGAGTTGACCGTAAAAAGAAACTTAAAGTATGAGAAAGATTCCAAAGTTCAATAAATGATCCTAATGTTCAGAAAGTTGAATGAAATAATTAACATGACTGAAATGTTTCGAAGAGTTAGGTAATGCAGTAATGGTAGATAAATATTTATGTTTTTATCTGCTTTGCTAATTTTAATTTCAATAATTACAGAATTAATAAATAATATTTACGTTTAGGAAGTTGAATGAAATAATTTATGCGGCTATGATGTGAAAAAAATATACTATGTTCAAATAACTAATACGAATCTTTATGCTTAGAAAGTCGAATGAAATAATTTACACTACTAAAATAATTCGAAGAGTATTATACAGTAGAATGAGATAAGTAATTATGTTCTTGATTTGTAAGTTTGGTTTGCTGATTTTAATTCCGATGATTAATAAAAGATCTTTACGTTCAGGAAATCAAATGAAATAATTTACGTGGCTATGACATGAAAAGAATATATTATGTTCAGATAACTAATAAGAATCTTTATGCTTAGGAAGTCGAATGAAATAATTTACGTGACTAAAATGATTCAAAGGATATTATAAAGTGAGATAAGTAATTATGTTCTTGATTTGCAAGTTTGGTTTGCTGATTTTAATTCTGATGATTAATAAAAAATCTTTACGTTCAGAAAGTCGAATGAAATAATTTACACAACTAAAATAATTCAAAAGGTATTATATAATGTAGATAAGTAATTATGTTTTTGATTTGTAAGTTTGGTTTGCTGATTTTAATTCCAATAGTTAATAAATAATATTTATGTTTAGGAAGTTGAATGAAATAATTTATGCAGCTATGATGCGAAAAGAAATATTATGTTCAAATAACTAATATGAATCTTTATGCTTAGGAAGTTGAATGAAATAATTTATGTGACTAAAATAATTCGAAGAGTATTATAGAATAAGATAAGTAATTATGTTCTTGATTTGCAAATTTGGTTTGCTGATTTTAATTCTGATAATTAATAAAAGATCTTTACGTTTAGAAAGTTGAATGAAATAATTTATGCAACTATGACATGAAAAGAATATACTATGTTCAAATAACTAATATGAATCTTTATGTTTAGAAAAGAATGAAATAATTTATACGACTAAAATGATTCAAAGGGTATTATAGAATGAGATAAGTAATTATGTTCTTGATTTGCAAGTTTGGTTTGCTGATTTTAATTCTGATGATTAATAAAAAATCTTTACATTCAGGAAGTCGAATGAAATAATTTATGCAGCTGAAATGATTAAAAAGTATTAAGTAATGGTAAATAAGTATTTATGCTTTTGATTTGTAAACTGATTTTGATTTCAATTATTAATATATAATCTTTATATTCAGGAATCAAATAAAATGTTAGTGTGAATAAAAGGATTTGAAGGACATTATACATAAGAATTGCCAATAAGTACTTTCTAATTAAATAATAAATATTTTATTTATAAACTTGAATAGTTTATTTTAATAGTTATAACGATTTAGCTACAATGCTTTAAAAATGTATTTACTATATATTTAATAAGTTATTGCTATTTTGAATAAATATTTTATTAATTAAAAAATAGTATATTTAATGTGTAGTAACTGCATATTGACAATATTGTAACTAAATTGTTTTTAGAAGTTTATGTTCAAATAAATGATTTGGTCATGATTTGGTCACGATTTGGGTATGATTTAGTTATGATTTAGTAAATTAGTTATAATAAGTTAGCTGTATAGTTTTAAAAATATATTTATCACATAATTTAAAAATGTATAATAAATTATTACTATTTTAAATAAATATTAAAACAATATATTTACTAAATCGATAATATAGTAAACAATCGTCTTAATGCACAATAACTGCAAATAGACAATATCGCAACTAAATTATTACTAAAGTTTATAAATAAATACATAATTTAGTTCCAATATGTTTACTAGTTAGTAACAATATATTTGCGATTTAGTTACAATTTAACATCTTTCAGTAAAGTATATATATAATCATATATATTTATAAATTTTATATGATGTAATTATATAGAGGTACCTTTATTTAGTCATACCTCTATACTATTATCATATTAAAGTATGCCAAACTGTATGATTATATAGGAAGATGACTGTATTTATTTGAATTATGAAATGTTTTTCAAATTTTTCTATCATATATATCAGTAAAGTGTTCAGAATCATTAAGCCTTTTTGCCTATTTTCTGAAAGATATTTCAAATCATTTCTGATTATATAATAACTAAAATTGATATTTTAAAAAGACTGTAAAAAAGATTAACAATAGTCTGCATATGACATCTTTTGCTATAGGCACATTTTTAATAACTAAATAATTGCAAGAGTGTCTAAAATTAGCCACTAAGTGATTTGAAAAGTCTTGGAAGATGCAAAGATTTATTTTAGATATTAAATTTGGTTTGTCAGTTGACATATTAGCTATATTATACAATTTGCAATATTGTTTACATATTGTATACTTGATCATATAAGCACTAATACAAAGATTTTTACATGTTATATTTAATAATGAAGAAAAAAAGAAGTAGATTTTTTTATTATAAAAAGTTAAGAGATACCAAATAAATTTTAATAATAATTTGGTAGTTATATCAGACAACCTATACCTCTCTTGAAACTTTAAAATCTATAAAATAATATATAAAAAGTCTTTAAGAATATCTAAAATACTGATATGTTCTTCTGTTTTACTAATAATGTTTTTTAAAGTGTTAAAATTAATTTTTTGATTTATTAATTCTTCATTTTCATTATCTAATAGGTCTTTAGCAATCTTTTTTTTTTTATTAAAAAATAAATTCTTTATAAAAATAAGATTTTGTGTGCTTCTCTTTTCTTTGTTTCTAACTGGTTTCTTTTCTTTTTTTATTAACTTTTAGTTATAAAACTAAAATTATTTTTATATAAATAAACAACAGAGTTATTGTCTGAGCTATCTATATGCATTGTTTTTTTATAAATATCAATATCCAGAAGCTCTTTCAGAATGTTAAATTTTAAAAATGTTTTTATAGAAATAATAATTGTTTTATTTAAGGATTCAATAGTATCATAATAATTTTTTGTAATATTAGTAATGTTTTTTCTTATTTTAGAAAGTTTTCTAGTATATAGATCAACAAGTTTATCAACACAACTATTGCAATAGCAAGCTTTAAGTAGATAAGTTGTTGTGTATTTAGAATAACTTGTTTTTTTAATAATTTTTTTAATAAAAGATCTCTTTTGATAATCTATTATTATGTGAGAAGAATTATAAACAAGTAAAATATATAATTAGAATAATATATAACTAAAAAATTAGAGATAACTAACTCTTTCCAACAATCACTTGTACCAAATTCTTTCTAAACAAAACTGCTCTTTTCTCAAATTATTATTAAGTAAACCTATCTTGACTGTCTAAGTAAAATTGTTTCTCATAAAATTTTACATATAGGCAGCCTATTTTTATATCTTTAAAAGTGTTTATCACTGGAATATAACTAAATTAAATAAATTTTTATTATTGCTAAATACTCATTATTTTACTAAGTAAAACACAGTAGCTACTTAAACCAAAAAGATTCAGCATAATTCTATCTTCATTTTGATATATTACACTCTTAATATAGTCAAAAACTGATAGTTTTATTGAAAAATATATTGAAACTCTTACAATTTTTTTTTCTTTTTTGGAGAACCCTGACTCTTTAGGATGTCCCAGACCTGTAGATCTCTATTACTAATTAAAATTATTAATTATTTTACACAAACCTATCTTTGTTTTATCTATTTTTAAACTAAACTCAATATTACTAATTTTGTCTTAATAAATTTACACAAATTTTGTTCTATGTTGATCATGCCAATCACTTAGGTGTCATATTAGGTGCTACCTTATACATCACACCTCCTTATTTGTCATACCCCTTATTTGTCACATCCTTATCTGTCATACCCTTATCTGTCACACCCTAACATCAAAATTAACTCAGAAAAATGCCTACTCTAACCAACTCTTAAGAACCAGATACCTATGACATAGACTACTACCATTCTAAATATAAAGACTGCTATGGAGTTGGACTTCAAGAAGCCAAACCCCAAGCTCTAAGAGTCTTTCTACCAACTGCTAAACCAGAATACTGCGATGATAAAAAACAACAACATTACTTTAAAGTCCTATTACAACCTGCAATTGCAACCTGCCTTTGTGGCAAATTTCATACAAGCTTTACTTCTCGACACTACAAAATTACTCACTTTACTACAATTAGCCAACCTACTAATCCAACTCAAACTCAAATCAGAAATACTATCTCTTCACAAAGTTTTAAAAAAACAGAAAAACTACCAACCTCACCAGTTCTTAAATCAACTAATCAAACACAACTTTCTTCATTCTTAACAGCATATGTTCTTTTTCCAAACTTTCAAACAGACCCAACTTCTACAGCTATAATCACACACTCTCAACATTATCATACTTGTTTTCTCTGTAAACTTAAAAACATCCAATGTGTCTTTACTGACAATT